TTTCAATGATATCGGCGTTCAGCGAGTCGTCGGTCGACACAATCGTATCCATCAGAAGAAGAATAGTAGCCATAAAGTGGCGAAACTCTTCACCCGATTGAACGAATGTGTGGACAGTTGTCTCGGATTGAGTGGCGCTCCAAATGAGTGACAACACTGTCTTCAAGTGGTGAGCGGTGGTCACGTTCACAGCCACACACCCGGCATCACCAGCAGCTGATCCGACGGTCTGTTCCCACTCCATGTCTTCCTTCAACTCGTGGTACACTTTGCGCACGACTTCCAGTTGTCTCTTGCAATTGGTCTCGCGTTTCAGCGACTGATCCAACGATTGGCGCAATTGATAGGTCTGTCGTACGGATCGATCGGACGATTGTCTCAATAGTCGTAAATTGCGGTCCAATTGTGGCATCAAATGAGTGATTGTCTGCCAAACAGAGCTCTTCATTGCGATCACGCGATGGTCTCGTTGTCGCCGGCGTTCACTCTCTTCGGCCACACTTGACATCAATTGCAATACATTTGTCTGTATTTCGTGTGTCTTCTCCACGAAGAGTGTCAACAATGCGGCCATCGATGCGTCCATCGAAGCCATGGATCAGTTGTAGTGATAATGTGTTTCGCTTTCACTGTTAGTGTTGTCAATACAATTGTGGCGCCGAATGTGTCACACATTCACTGCTCAACCAATCGCTGCGTTCGACGCAATACGAGTGTGTATTGAGTTGTTATGCGATTCGCAACCAATCGCTGCATTCATTACATCAACGTCTCAACCAATTAAAAAATAGAAAACAAACATTTAATACAAATATACACAAAGTGTAAATATTATGTATTAGGTGTTAGTATTAATAGATTATATTGGAGTTTGTCATGACTTCAAAACACAACTCACTTCTACGGAAAGCTATGGAAAATAATCGCAAACTAAATGAAAGGTATTTTCCATTCAGTAATGAATTATATAAAATGTTTAATGTACTCATCAATTGATTCAATATATATTACCAGAAAAATGAGTGAAGACAAGTATCAAAAATTTGTTTTCGACAGCTTATCGGCGGCTATTCTTCTCGCACCGCACGAGACCTTGTTATCGGCTCTCAATCGTCTACAGCCCGACCATAAGTTATCAATCATAATGTAATGTATAATTAATTGTCAATATTTAAAGCAAATTTTTAATTTGTTCTTTTCCTGTACAATTGAACATGTACATTTTTAAATTTTAAATTTAACGTTAATTTTTACAGAAGTTTAGCTCAATCATTGAGATGTGAAGAAATTGCGGCTGAGATGAGGGACGATGTGACGACACCCCCAAGAGATGGAACTTAAATGTGGTAATTTTTAACCAAAACTTTCCGTAAGACCTTATATATAATATATTTCATTATTTTTTTTACAGATTTATGAATAAAATTGAATAAAATAGAGATTTATTGAGAAAATTAGTGTACATTTAATTATACATTAACCGCACATTCAGTCAGACTCTGCGAGAACAGCGAATCGGCTCTTCGTTTGGATCGCTTCCTCTTCTTCGTCGTCGCCTTCACTCTCCTCTTCGCTATCCTTCACGTCATTGTCGGCCATCTCTTCGCCGTCGGAATCGTCTGCCAATCGGTGGCCGCGAATCGTCTCCATATACTCCACGTCCGGATGTGTGGCCCAAACGGTGCTCTTCTGTCGACAATAATCGGGCGGAAAGAACGCCAGACATAGAGTGCGTCCGTCGAGTGCCATACGGAGCAAGTGATTGGCCGCGCGGTGGGCGTCGGGTCGCGCGGCTTTGGCCGTATAGAAGCCCCGCTTTATGGCCCACGACTCGCACACGTCATACGCCGACCACTGTTGGCCACCACTGGAGGCCGACGACACGCACTCATCGCTGTTCGGGTGCTGCAGACGTAGGAGGCGTTGAACGGGTATTCGTTGCGATATATAGCCCACCGCTGCGAAGGGCTGCCGGAGCTGTGCGATGGGATAGCAGCCCATCAACACCTGTAGCTCTTTGGGCGCTCGCGAGGGGAACACCAGTCCGGGACAGTCGCACAGCCGTACGGTTGGCGTCAGGAAAATGGTCTGAAAGTGTTTGGTGTGTCCGGGAGTGCGCGAAACACTGACCACTTTGCGACCCATAATGGCGTTCAGTAGCGATGATTTGCCGACATTCGGGTGACCGACGCAACCGATGGTCACCACTCCGTCTTTGAAGCGCTCCGTTTGCTCGTAATAATTGAGATCCACTTTCGCGCGCTTCTGTTGGCCCGTCTTTAATGGATCTCTTCGTTGGGTGTCTTCATCCGAGTCATCGTTATCGTCGTCGGTGTCGTCCGGACGACTGGCGGTCGACTCTTCGGCCCGCAATTCGTCGTCGATTTTCTTCCTCCAGTTCGAGAGATCGACGCGTTGTCCGCAAATGCGTTGACACAACGCCTGCAGAGCGCGGGCGGCGTTGGAGGCCATCCGTAGTTTACCGATGCGTTTCTTGTTGTTCTTGAGTCTCATTCCGGCGTAAGAGGCGAACGACAGGACATGGAGTTCGGGAAACGTGTGCTTCAGATAATGAGTCCACGCAATCACCAGAGATGCGTCCACTAAATCCACTTTATTGAGCACTAGAATCATGTCTTTGCGGAGTTCGTGGACGACATAGCGGTATAGAGAGGGCGGGAAGTGAAACACCGGGTGTCGTATGTCTGCGATGAGGAGCACAATGTCCGACATCTCGAGGACGCGCCACAACTGGCGCCACGTCTCCAGATTGAGCTCAAAATAACTGAGTCTCTCATTGGTTGCCGTAATTGTGTCCAAATAGTGGCGGAAGTACTTGTGTTCGGCCGCTTCCAGTTGTGCGGCACTCGTATTGCGGTCCCATTTGGGCCGTCGCGGCATATCGTGTGCCGATTGGTCGCCAACACCGCCGCCACTGAACACCTCTTCGACTGACACTTCGCGACCGCTTTCGGGCAACACTTGAAAGGGTTGACCGCTTTCTTCGCGCTTTTGTCGCAACTCTTCGTCCGATTCTCTGAAGAATTGAAGAGCGAATCGATTCACGTCTCGACTTTTGTCGACTCGGTTTTGGACATTCATTTGTCGGACACCCGACTGACCAACAGATGTGGAGGCCGTGGAATCGCCGCCCAAATTGTGGCCAACAATCACCGACTCTTCGGCCGAGTCGTCGCCACTGAACGCTTCACTCGTGTCATCAGTGGTCACGTGTTGTGTCTCTTGTAATCCTCTTGTTGTGGTCTTCTTGTGGTCTCTCTTATCCTTCAGCTGTTGTTTCTTCTGTTTGGCACTGAAGGCAACTTTACGGCCCCCTCTTTGGGGCATCACTTCCAACACTTCCGACCACTTCTTGGGATCGCTTTAATTGGTTAACAAATGGTATACAAAATGAATGCAACAAAACGTGTCTTTCAATGAGTTTTGTTTACAAACATTTTTGATCATAAGTTTTGTTGTGGTTTTGCATTTAATTCACACGTAATTTGTGTGCAAACCATAGGCTGAGAGAAAACACCCGACAAAACATGCAATCAATTGATTGTTTGTGTTTTGATTTGATTCACAATTTATTACACTATTTGTGATGTAAATTGTGGTCACAATTAAAGCCATAAATACAATGATTTCATTGTAATAACGATATAATAGTCGCCCCGAAAACAGTCCATCACTTTCTCCCCCGAAGAATACCATTGAAAATGCAATTTTATTTTTGACATCAATTTTATTATTTTTATTTAATTTGTAACTCTATGTTAAAAAACTAGTTTGACTAATAAGTTGATAGGTTTCTCCCTCTATAATACATAACGTAAAACAATACAAAATCCCTCTCAAAGTGTGGCACATGTTATCACACAGCAAAGGAGTTTGCCCATTTGTGAGATTGCGGGCACTTTGGATTTATTGTGATAAAATGAAAGTACACTCACTAATAAATGTCATTATATACTTCATCTGGTCAGATGACCTCGGGATCGGCCGCAGTGACCACTTTATTGGGAAAATTTTGAAAGTCAAATCCTTAATTTCATAAATAAGTATATCATATTATATATCAATCGAAAGGTATGGATGAGAGGAATAAAATTTTTAAGGAATTTCCCAATTTGGACATAATTGAAAAAAAGTTATATAAAAAATAAGAAAGTTACTAACTCTTTTGCACGTTTTTAAAAAATAACAAATAACGTAATTATTTAACATCATTTATATTAGTTTCAATTATGCTCAAAGTGATAATTAATTGATTTATATGCAATTTTTGGCATTTTACCCATTAACAAAAAGCAGTTTTACACAAATTATAAAAAATAAACTGTTACGTTTATTGATTTAATATTGTTATATTCTGATTCTACGTTAAATTCCATATTGACTTTATATATCATATGTTAGTATTGAATAGGTTGATATTTCCCGATAAAAGTGGCCACTACGACCAAACTAGAGGTTGCCTGGCCAAATGGATTATACCAGTGAACTTCTCATACAATGTACTTTCAGTTTATATGATCAAATCCCGGTTGCAAACTTAGGCCAAATCCGACATCCTCCTTTGCCCCTTAATATCCCCTCTAATCGACCCATTATATATGCGGACGTTCTTTCTAAACAGCACTCAAAAGCATTTGTACAGTGAAAGCTATTTAAGCCACGCCCAACCACATGAACAGAAATTACTTGAGGTAAAAAAAGGTAATAGTCAATTCTTGTGATGAAAATGACTTCAAATAGACTTTACTTCAAACTGAAAGTCAAACTCTATTTTGAATTCATTTCCAGTTTTGATGAAATCTCGTGAATAGTATTCAACGCTTCACTCAATCATCACTTCTATAGAGTATAACAAAACACTGTTTTGTGAAGAGTTGTATACTTTTCAAAGTTTGACTCTTTGTATAACTTTTAAAACACAATCAGTCAATGATTTAAGAAATAAAAATTTTATAATAACTTATTTTTTATAACATTAATTTTATTAAATCAAATATTTTGAGAAAAATGTTATTTTTTAATACAAACGGAAAAATCATATAAAATAGTGAATAAATACATAAAGTGAATAAATATTTTCCAAAAATCATCAAAATTTATATGAAAACATCAAAAAGTGTCTAATTATCCATAAAATGCATTAATAACACAGGATTTTACACAAAACCAATGTTTAGTTAAACCAATTAAAGTATTGCATAAAACATAGCCTTTGAACACAAATATATTTAAGACAATTAAATAAATACTCTGTTATACACTATAGAGTAGTGAACAGTATTTTTCATATAAAAGACAACATTTTGTTGTCAAATGAAATCACGAAAAAGATATCAATTATATTGTATTAAAATGTATTAATGAATAAAACAGACAAATATTATAATACAAACCATAAGAGAAAATACTAAATAATTTTGAAAAATAATTGGATTTTGTTTCAATCCGTTAAGACTTCAAAGAAGAAAATGTTAGAAATAAAAATAAATATCAAAATATTAAAAAATTAGTTAAAAAGTTTGAACACAAAATATGGATGAATAATTTTTAAGGGAATTTCAAAAAGTTTTTAAATCAATGTTACATTTTTTCATTAGATTCTTGACAACTCTTTTACTGATATTTCGTTTCCAGTGTTCAGTACTGCCGATGAGAGTAATGCCACGGATTTGTCTCAATCCAGACAATGATATCAACGACTCGTCGGTAATCTTCACGTACTTTACGCCCAAATACTGAACATTCGGTAAATTGTGGTCAATATTAGCGAAGAATTTATCCGTAATTAGAGGTCCCGAAGCTATCCATAGTTTCAAACGAGTTAATCGTTTCAATGGCGACAATAAATCGCTGGTCAGAAAAGTTTCGGACATAATTTGGCCGTAAATTTCTAGTCGTTTTAATTGTTTAAAGTGTTTATTAATCATATGAATCAATTGTGGCGTCCATTCTCTGATAATAATGCTAAGACTCTTCAGACGCCGACAATTGATACCAATTTGAGTCAATAATGGGATCAATTGTTGTGATGAAACGCAAGTGACTCTCAATTCAAAGGCAATCAATGCCCGCATTTGTGGCAATATATCCGACAGTCTATTGAATAATCGCTGTTCCCATGCATTCACCACAAATCTCCTCATTTGGTGTCCGTATTGACCGACAAACACATTCAATGCTTGAATATCTTCGGCCGCATATATATATCCCAAATAAATACCAATACTATTTAGTCGTTTGAACGGCACATGGCTTTCGGTCATCGATTGTAAGACTGTTTTAAATTTGTCGCATATTTGAAATCCACGCAAATTGACACATATTTGAATCCATTTCTCTATTAACTTCTTGTCCACACTTTCATTGAATGACAAGACTTTCATTGTTTTCAATTGTGGACCAAATTTAGTGAAAAACCTGTCAATTGTTTCGACACTAATATACATGAAATCGATATAAATATGCGTTAAATGAAAGCAATGTTTGATCATTAGATCAATGGCTGTGTCTTCGGGACGACAATCAAATGGCAAATGAATGGATGAAATATTCGGACATTTCTTGAGAATAGACTCAAAAATAGCTAAAATGTCTTCATTTTTGGTGGATTTGTGTCCAAAAGTTGTATTAATTGTTCTCTTAATTGCTGTTAGTATTGATTGAAATCCATTCAAACGTATCCTAAGAGTTGATAGAGAGTTGTAATTAACTTTCAAATCCATTTGACTCTTGAGGACAACTCTTCGCCACTGTTTTGAAATGCATTCAAATCTGAATTTGTCGGTCAATACGGACACCAAATGAGGAGATTTGTGGTGAATGCAACTCTTCGCACAAATCATCACCGAATCGATCCAAAGAGTCTTTTGCGTACATTTCACACATTTTTACCACAAAACTAATTCACAACTCAATGAAAATCAATTTCTTATAACGATTTAAATGAATGAAGTGATGATTGGATTGAATGTCAACTCTTTCTTCACTTTCTCTATACTGTAGTATTTTAGATGAAATTTTCATCATTTATTATGTTTTTCCCACAAATGTTGTCATTATTATAAAAATTAATTTTAATACACTTTTGTATATTTTAATACACTTTTGTATATTTAAAATATTTTAATACACCTGTTGTATAACTTTCATCACTTTAATTCACGTCACAAATAAATAAATAAAATTTTGATGTATTTTAAGTTTTTTCATTTTTAATTTATTTTATATCACATATTAATTAATGGCTTTTAAATTATACTAAATTTATAATTTTTATTCAACAAAATGAGAGAAAGTGTTAGAAGCGATACAATTAGTATGAATGGTATGAATGGTGTGCTCTTATTGTACGTCAAGTTATATTACATTTAAAATAGACTTCAAATTGAATTTTATTGTTCATAACTAACAGAATATTCTGTATATTTGTGTCGACTATTTATATACGGGTTTTAATGCACAGAATATTTTGTATACTCAATGAATACAGAGTCGGGTCCACACACTCAACACTACTGTGCCTTAAGGTCTGGTGGAAAGGGTAAAGACCGGGGAATGTGTGGCCGCGGTATCCATAGGTATTAGAATATTCTGTGCCCTAAAACACAGCGTATATACATTGTATGAGATTTAAAATAAACAATAATTATTATTTTAAAAAAGTATAATTATTAAAAAGTGTCTTAAAAATGTTTTTATAACAGATTTGTTCGTAACAGGAAAAGTACAAAATGTATTTTGTATAAAAAGCATTTGCAAATTCTTGTGTTATTTATTCTGTGTTTTATTTTATTATTTCTTTGAATTTATACTTTTTGACATTTTTTATGATAAAATGTAAAATAAATAAATTTGATTTAAAAACAAAACGATTGAATAGAAAATATTCTATAACTGTATTAATTAATAAAACCATTTGAAAATTGATTTTAAAGTTTTTATTAAAGAACAATTGTTTACATTTAGTTTAATTAATTAATTGAATTCAAATGAATTAACAAAAGTATGAACACATTTAGTGTCAATCCGTCAACACTTCAAACAATCAAATGTTATATTTTGTGTTAAATTAAAAATACATTTTCAATCAATTTAATAATATACAGGTAATAATTATTGAATTTCAGACCAAAAGTATGTTTAATATAACAAAAAGTATAATAAGTATTGGATATGAAAACAAAGCGTTTGAATGCAAAAAAGCAAAATTAATTAAAATTATAATTAAATTATGTTTTCATAGATTATTATAAATGATGACATGGGATGAGGGAAACGGGTATTCAGTGTTCGTATTCATTGAATTTAATGAAACAAATTTTGGGACA